TCTATCTATAGATCTCTCTCTCTCTCTCTCTCTCTCTCTCTCTCTCTCTCTCTACCTAATCTCTTCCCTTGCTCCGTACCCCACCCAACCTCTGCCCTCCCTCCGCCGCCCGACTTCACCCTGCCATCTTTCCCCTTCCTCCCGGCCTCCTTCCACTTCCTCCTTTTCCTCTTCATGCTTTTTCCCATGCTCGTCTCCCCCTTACCTCTTCCCTTCCTCCATACGTCACTCAACCTCTGAACTACGTTCTGCTTTTTGTCCTCCCTTCGCCCTACTTCTCCCTGCCGCCTCCCTTTTCCCGGCCTCCTCTGGACCTTCTCTTAAACCTCCCTCTGCCCTCCCTCGCCTGGCCACCTCACTCCCCTTCCTTCGCCCAATCTCCGCCTGACCTCCTTCCCTCTATCTCCTCCGTCCTACTCCTTCCTCCGCCCGATTTGCACTGACCTCCTCCTTCCCCCAATCTCCTTCCTCCCCTTCCTTCCTTGGCCCAATCTCCACCTGACCTCCTTCTTCCACCCTACTCTATGCCGCCTTTCCCCTCCCTACAGGCCTCCTCCGCACCTTCTCTTCAACCTCCCTCTGGCCTCTGTCCGCCTGGCCGCGTCATTCCCCTTCGCTCGGCCCCTTCGTTCGCCTGATCTCTGTCTGACCTCCTCCTTCCCTCGATCTCCTCCCTCCCCTTCCTTCCTCAGCCCGATCACCACCTGACCTCCTACTTCCATTCCTCCCTCCGTCCTACTCCCTACCTCCCCCTTCCTCCCTCGACCGGTCACCCTTCCTTCGTAACGCCTGGTGTAAGAAATACTTCTTTTCCTTTATCCGGTGGACGTAAACGCGCCATTTGTTACCAAGATCGCTCCATTTCTTTCAAGATCTCAACACTGTTGCACACACGCAAGAAGGAGAGAGGGAAAGCAGGAGAGAGAAAAACGCATTTCACCCAACACATTTCCTTCCTCGCACCTTCTTTGTCCTTGTCTGTCTCTTCCACCACCACGTCTTCTGCCTCCTCAAGATATTCCTCCTCAACATTCTCCCTCAATCTTTTCTTTTTGGAGCGGCCTTATGATTAACTGCCCTGCGCCAGGTATTTCAGGCTATCGATATTTCTTTCCATATTTC